TTGAAAGACACGCTTTAAATCATCATGAGAAAATTGCTCAAATTGCTCTCTTACAAAATTTTCAAGATCATCTGGACTCGCGAATTCGCGTCCTTCAGCTCTCTTTTTTAGCGTGCCGAATAAATAAAAGTCAGAGGGTGCAATATCAGGTGAATAAATTGGGTTTGGAACAACTTTGACATTGTTTTCCACCAAGTAATTCATTACCTTATGACTTTTGTGAACTCTTGAATTATCAAAATGAATTGCAAACTTTTGTTTTTGTTGTTTGGATTTCTCAAACTCATCAGAATTGATAATTTGAGTAAGAACATTGTCAATTAGATACTGAGCATTCATCGTATTAGGTTTTTGAAGAATATCAATTGCGATGATGCCATTCACGCCCCAAAAAACCGACAACATCATCATTGGTGTGTCAATTTTTTTCTTCGGGAATGTTTGCGGATTTTCATCCTTCGGGATCCACATGATTTTGGCTTCTGTTGCATATTGAAACCAAGACTCGTCCCCTGTTACTAAAAAGCGAAACTTCTTGGATTGATACGCACCCAATATAGTAGAGAGAGGAGCTCTTTCGAAGATTGGACTCTAGATTTTTTGTGAACTGAATTAAGGTTGTGCGGAACCCAACGTGTATACGCTAGTTTGTAGTTCAAATAATTGTGCAGATAATAACTGACTGTTGTACGTGGTATCTTTGTCATCTCCTCTATCCTTCTGAGTGATGCTCTTGGGTCTTCATCTAGCGCTTGAAGAATTGCTTTGATTTTTCTTTGATCCGGCGATTTTTTGTCAATTTTTATGATGGGCGCCTTTTTGTTCATGAAGTGATACATCCTAACATGATACGTTACAGTGGAATAGCTAGGAGCATCCATACCGAAGCATTTTACCAATGTCTCGTAGATTTTTTTACAGTCTTTGCATTTTTTTGCAAGAGCGAGGATGTTTTCTTTATGATTCATTAAAAAAATGAAAAAAATCCCGCCAAAATTTCCCGCGAAACTGCCTCTTGTCTCAAAATTCATTTTATATCCCGGCATGGCGCCAAAATACAACATACTCATCATATACATATATTCATATTTTTTATTATATATTTATAATCAGCATATATCTCCTTTAATAGTCTCATATAGAGCGCTGTGCTAAACGCACCTTTGGACACCCTATATTTATAAACATGATTCATAATCTTTTCATAATTTTCATCAGTTATCTTTTCATAAACGTAATTTTGTAAATCAGCAACTCTTAACGGGTCAACCTGACAAAATACTAAAGTATCCCTGAAAACATAATATTTAAGAATGATTTCACCAAATGATTTAGGATAATCATCGAACGCCTGAAATGCTAACAAATCATTTACCGGAATAATCATATCAAAAGTGACATCAACTTCTTCATTTGCTTTCTTGAAAACTTCTGAAGGGTCAATATATTTACCACATACTGAGTTATCATATTTTTGAACATTATTATATAACGAATGAACAAACTTTTTAACTTTCCTTTCTGATTTTGGTTTATATGTTGCAAATGCGAAAGATTCACGGGCGCAATCCATCTGAAGATAACCGGCATCACCTCTTTCGGTTTCTACTTCTAATTGTTTAAAGCTTTGATTTGATGATTTGTAACCAACGAATAAACGCATGCATTTAAAAGCGGCATCACATGTGAAAGCTTTATTTGAAACTAGAGTTGCTTTAACTTTGCGTTTAATATATGTGTCACCTAATTGGTTCACATCATGAGCCGGATTTGTAATTCTTAAATGAGTTTGTTTATCATCAAAATATGGAGCATCAGAGTCATAGCATGAACTTTCAAGTTCTCTATAATATCTTCTACCGTCATTCTTTGCGAATATTTCATTTATCTTTTCGAATGAATGAAACACATTTCCATTAATTGGTTTAGTGTTTGGCACCAAATAGTTAGTCGTCATTTATTATTAAATAAAAAATCAAAATTAAAAGATGAAAATGAATTTTTAATTTTAATGAAATAATCAACTATGGCTGCAGGATTCTTTAAGAAACTGTGGGATAAAGTAAAAAGAGGAGCGCATAAAGTTTGGGAAACAATGAAGAAAGGAGCAAATTGGATATTTAAGAATAAAGAAGCAATTAGTGACATTGCTGAATCAATAACGCCAAAAGCTGCCCCAATAAGAGAAATTTTAAATAAAGGAGAAAAAGTTTATCAAAGACTACAACCGATACTAAGATAAAAATAATATTTATTTATTTTTCCACTATTTACCTCCTATTTTATTAAGTATTCCTTCAGCAATTCCACCAATTGCGTTACCTGCTTGTGCTCCCATCGCCGGATTACCTGCTTTAGTACCTAATACTCCACCTATGATAGTTCCTGCCGTTTTCGCTACTGGTGCCAAAAAGTTTGCAACGGGTTTAATAATATTTTTATGAACCCAACCTGCAGCTTTCTTAATTCCATCCCATAATTTTTTAAAGAATCCTGCCGCCATTTCTGATTTAATATTAATTAAAAAATATATTTCATCACTTATATTCTAATTTTTATTTAATGATAAATGAAACCAATTTTAAAAATAAATGAAACAAAGGAGGATGAAATAAATGAAAGTGGAAATGTTCAACAAAAAATAAACGTTGTTAAACCAATTACTGAAATAAAAATTTTTTCATCTGTTGATGAATTTAATGACTATTATGCTAATAATAAAAAATTATTTGAAGAATTGACAACGTGTAAATTGAATAAAATGTTTAAAGTTGATGGATTCAAAATTTCAAAAATAAAAGGAGTGGTTAGTTTGAAATCTATTCCCCAATCAAGAATCACCTCATTAATGAAAATTGATGATTTAACAAAAAGAATAGAAGAGATTGAAGAAAGAGTAAATCAGATAATTGATTTCATAAATCATGACTCGTTGAGCCCGGGTCCTTAAAGCCCATCACTGAGTTCAAGGTTATATTCATCAAATATTTCATTATTAAATGCAACTTCTGCTAGTTTATTTATTTTTTCAATACGATCATTTGAAAGTCTATCGTTTAATTTTTTCTGAAGTTTTTCATTTTCTAGTTCTGAAACTTTATTTGGATGATATGTAAATTCATGAAATTCTTTGGCCTCGGTTTTGATCATTAATTTACAAAGAACTTTTGTGGTTGGAATTCGTTTGAACCATTTATTAGTTATATTCGTTATATATTCAATATCTGGAATTAATTCCCAAATTTTTGCATTTTCAATTAATTTATTATCAAATGCAAAAGCAATGGGTTTAATATTATGTTTACCTTTATAATATAAACTTTCTACATAATCATCGAAATAAACATCTACTTGTTTAACATTTTCAAGAATTGGTGAAAGAGCATCCATTAATTGATTGACGGTTACGAATCTTGATCCACTCATTTTCTTACGAATTAAAAAAATAAATTATTCAAAAATGTAAGACATGAATTTTTAAAGTTTATTTTCATTCATGAAAATAATTATTTCTAATTTCTTTTACTCTCTCATACATACTAGATTTAAAGAATTCAGAACATTTCCCATAATCTCCTAAATGTTTTCTTATCTTATTGGTTTTCCATTCATTATATGAAACTGTATAAACTTTATCTTTATCTTTGCATCTTTCATCACTTCCAATATATTTATATTTCAATTTTGATTTATTGGTTTCATATTCATTAACGTTTAATAATTCACAGTCTTCCTTTTTAAATAAATGTTTTATGTATTCAGGATTAACAATTCTATAATATTGCTTCCCTTTAAATCTTTGAATATAAACAGGAACACCATCCTCTAAAATTCGATAATCTATTTTATCTGGTTTTACTTGTTGGGTCATTTATGTAAGAATAAAAAAATAAATTATTTTAAAATTAATGTTAATTTTTTTAATGGTTTATTTTTTAAAAATTTTTTATTTTTTATTTCATTATGTATGGGCTGAGTGTAAATGTCTTACAATTTTGAAAATTTTTTAAATCTTGATTTATTCAAAAACGTAAGAATAAAAACCGTAAGAATCATACATTTTTTACTTCATATGTTAAAAAAAATGATACAAAATCGCTCGATATTGTATGAATTCTTACGTTTACAAAAAAAGTCACAAAACCCATCCTATCCTACTACTAGTCGAGGCTTTTTTACCATCTTATTTTTGAAAAATTTACGAAAAATTATATCTGAAAAAACGCTTCATTTTGATATCTTACAATGATAAAATACCAATGTTGCTGGGATATAATAGCTACACCTGGACATCTACTACGTTAATGCGTATGACAGGTAAAGTTGATTTCAAAAGTATAGCCTGGAAAGATTACAATAAATCAACGATAATTCAAAAAAATTTCTTATAAGTTAACATAATAAAAATTTAATTTTTATATTGCTTGTATTATACTTAAGTATATAATATATTTAAATCTTAGAATGAAAATTCGGGACGCCCTAGCTATTCAATTTTCCCTTAGGACGCCCATAAACCTCTCAAAAATGTGATGTAAATATCACAATTTTGAGAAATTTACACTAGGACGCCTTAGGACGCCAACCCCCTTTTTTACCTAATGAATTCGATAAATTTGAAAAAGAATTCTCTCATGAGAACGATGAAAAATTGTTCTATGAATGTAAAATTAATGTATTCAATGTAAAATGAATTTGATTAATAAAAATTGAATTTCATGAATAAAAATAAAGAATTTCAGGACTATAAATAGAATGTCATCAATACAAGAAGAACTACTGTATAAAATTATGATGAATTGTTATATGAAATTTAAATTGAACATAATAAATTATTAAATAGAACTCTATGAATACAAATATGAATTGAATTAACTAACAAAGAATTATATAAGCATAAAATTAACTCTATAAATAAAAATATGAACTGTATTAAAATAAATATTGAATTACATGAATATTAATAAAGAATTTCTCGATGAACATAATAATGAATTGTTCTATAAATGTATAGTGAATTGTATGATTGAATATAAAGAATTTTTTGATGAATATAAATAAAGAATTTCATTAAAAGTCTCATTAATGTCATTTCCATTATCGAAAAGGAAGAATGCTGCTTGAATATTAAACATCGCTAAGCATTGTGCGATAGTTATTTTCTCACAGTTGAAATTACTGATCAAATAATCAGCAATTTGATTTTGATGGGATTCAATTGCAACTGAAAGCATGAAATTCAAGTTTGCACCTTTTTGAACAAGAATACGAAGTATTTCATTATTTCCACCTTCTATACATGCTTTGACTGTTTTCTCTGTTATTTTTGCATTGTTTGCGATCAAGAATTTGAAGCAATTTACTGAACTATATTTTGCTGCCAAATCAAGCAAAGAAAATTTATTTGAATTGTAATCTTTGTAGGTCTTGTTTGGATCAAAACCATCTACATAATAATCACCCATTTTCTCGAATTGGTCCCAGATAATTGCGTGGTAAATTGTGTTTTCTGGGGCAATGTTTTTTATTGTATCAACATCTTTTGTTTTCTTGTCTTTAGCTAGTTTTAATTCATAGTAATTGAGAAGGACCGCAAATTCATTGTTTTTGATATCAACAATTGTATTAAAAGCTCGAGATATATAAATGAAAATATCAACAAAAATTTGATATTCTTTTTTGCGTTTATTCGAAACATAATCGATGCATTTAAGTGTAAATTTGACTATATTTTTATGTTCTTTGATGATTTTCATGATCTGTTCCCTCGATTGATATAAATTATCGTTGTTAAGACTCCAAATCAGCTGTTCTATATCATAAACATATTGAAGTCTCTGATCAATGTCTATGTATTGAATGCATGAGTCTGTTTTTATAATGAGCTGCTCTTTTACCTGAGGTTCCGTCGCCATTTTTCAATATAAAAATTGAATTCTCTGAAATTATTTGATAAAAATTTAATATAAAAATTATTAATTACTCATCGATAGGTATAAAAATTCATAAAAATTCATTTTGAATGGTGCGGATAAAACGGTTTTTACTGATATCACCTTGGTTAAATATTCTTCTAGGGTTCTCAAATAGAGATGGAAAAATATTTTGTTGTTAATTGTAAACCTCTCACCTTCTCAAAGTACCCTCATAAAAAAATTCTGAACTTACGTGCTTTGTGAATGTTCATTGAAAGTAACTAATGCAATTATTTTTGTTTCACTAAACTACATATGAAAGAGTATCGAATGACGAAAATTGTAATTCAACCAAATAAATTCAAATAAAAATGTTTTCAGTTTGAGTATTTTGCTTATCCAGCCCTGATCTCATTAATATTCGTTTAAATATGGACCCCTAATTATTAAAACTCATATAAAACTTGAGTTATGATTTCAAATGATTTTGGAAATGATAAATCCAATTAATTGTCAATAATCTAGATTCAAGCACTATTAAAAAGACTGAAAATATGTTGATTAGCAATATCCTGTTAACTTAACCCTCATTGAATGAAGCAACTTAATTATCAAAATATCAGCATATGATAATTTGTTAAATTCTTCTAGGTAAAGCTAAAATTACCAATAACATCATAATGGTTCTCATTAATTAAAAAAATTGTTATTTGAATTTCAAATTTTGCGACTTGAAGCAAGCTACTAACCAAAAGTGCTTTATTTTAGCTTATTAAAGCAATTTAATTTCATTTTTAATAGACGGCTGCACCAATTGGAGTTAAGTTTAAAAATGTTGAAGAACTAGAGAAAATACATGATGTGTACTTAAAAGAAATAGAACATTATGCAATTATTCCGATGAATTCGATTCAAAATCATTTATATTCAACATTATTAAATCGACCAGAACTTATTAATAGCAACACTGCAGTCTTATTGAAATATAATGAACTTACAGATGAAAATATGAAAATAATAGATCATTTATCCATTAAAAACATCATTATTGAAACAAAATCTAATCTTTTCATGGAAATCTCGCAAAAATTAATAGATTGTACATCTCACTATCCATCACTTCAACTATTTTGTCAATGTAATTGCGCTGAGGACTTCATTAAACTTCATACTTTAACAAATTATTCTCAAACAATAGCATTAGCAATTGATCTTCCTCAAGATCCAAAAGAATTCAAGATTTTAAGTACTTTACCACTATCTGCGCTGTTTGTCAACTCAAAACACTTTGAAAAAAATTCAATTAAGCAGGAGTTTATTCCATTTTTGAAAGAAATGACTATCAGACAAATACCAATATTTGTGGAAACGGATATACCACATTTTACATTTTGTTTCTTTTCTCTTGGTAAAATTTTAAATGATTTAGTGCCAACAAATTTCTATGGACTAAGTTTTCCCCTTTTACCACTTGAAAACGATTTGAATTCCATGCAATATCAAAAATTGGAGTTTGATACTGCAAAATATGATTTATATGAAGAATTCACCCGAAAAGCTCTAGAGATGAAAGGTCCAGATGCCTATGTTGCCATTGTTGGAGCAGGTAGAGGTCCAATTGTTGATCGTGCTGTAAAAGCTGGAGCAAAAAATGTAATAATTGTAGAAAAAAATGTTTCTGCTGTAATTCTTCTTAAACAAAGACTAGAAAGAGAGTGGCCATCGACGTACAAATTATATGAAGGAGATATGCGCAATGTTAAGCTTCCTTTTCAAATTGATATCATTGTTTCAGAACTTTTAGGAAGTTTTGGAGATAATGAACTTTGTCCTGAATGTCTATATGGATGTAATCGTTTTTTGAGCAAAGATGCCATTTCAATTCCTCAAAATCTCAAATCTTTCTTAGTTCCTATCAATTCTCATTATTTATGGTGTGAAGCCTTTCACAAGAGCTTAGATTACATATGGGTAACATCAATGGCCACTGCAATTCCGATTGGACAAGAAAAAGAAATAAATTCTTTTGAATTTCCTTCGGCATCCAAAGATTTTTACAATAGTAAAGTCTTTGAGTTTGAAGCTGACACTGATTCTACTTTGAATGGTTTTTGTGGTTGGTTTGACTCAAAATTATTTGAAGAAATTCATTTGTCGAATTCATTCAAATCTCATACGAATGCAAGTGAAAGTTGGCTACATATATATGTTCCTATACGGAAGCCCGTCAATGTCAAGAAAGGACAAATAATTAAATTATTATTTTCCAGAAGAACTGATGGAAGGAGAGTTTGGTATGAGTGGGCATTAGTTGAGCCTGAGTTAATGGGAATCCAAAATGCATTTGGCTGCAAATACTCAATTAATCTTTTTTACTAAAATTGTTTGTTTATAAATGTTTGCTTTAGAAAAAAATTTAAAATTATTGGAGAGAAGATTTTATTCTTTTTCCTTTTTCATTAAGAGTATACGTCATTCACATTAGCAAATGAAATGAGTATTTTAATCACTTCGAAATTTCCTGTGATAAATAATCCACAGTAATAACTTCAATGTCATTGATGGAATGTGAAATATCTGACTATAAATTCTTTGATTTTGAAATGTTAATTTTGATTCTTACATTTCTTAGTCATCTATTATGTTTCTAAGTCATCTATTATGTTTCTAAGTCATCTATTATGTTTCTAAGTCTTCTAATGTGTTTCTAAGTCTTCCATTATGTTTCTTAGTCATCTGTACTGTTTCTTAGTCTTCCATTATGTTTCTTAGTCGTCTGTACTGTTTCTTAGTCTTCCATTATGTTTCTTAGTCGTCTGTACTGTTTCTTAGTCTTCCATTATGTTTCTATGTCATCTGTACTGTTTCTTAGTCTTCCATTATGTTTCTTAGTCTTCAATTATGTTTCTTAGTCATCTATTATGTTTCTTAGTCTTCCATTATGTTTCTATGTCATCTGTACTGTTTCTTAGTCTTCAATTATGTTTCTTAGTCATCTATTATGTTTCTTAGTCTTCCATTATGTTTCTATGTCATCTGTACTGTTTCTTAGTCTTCAATTATGTTTCTAAGTCATCTGTACTGTTTTTAAGTCTTCTAATGTGTTTCTAAGTCTTCCAATGTGTTTCTTTAGTTTTATGAGCTTTTAAATTTGTTCTCACTATTACAAAATTAGTTAATGTAATCTTTGAGCTTTGAGAAATTAGAATAAATTCAGGAAATTATATGAAGAAGGTGCAAAATTTTTTCTTCTGAAACGAAGTGATTCGTAACTATAAGGAGGAATAAATCATCATAATAATCAACATAGTAAATAATTCTTTGTGTGAAAAAAACTTCTGGTATCCAAGAGTCTGAGTGTTAGTGAGGAGTGTATTGCTACTTTCCCTCCCAGGATCCATAAAGTCTTCACTCCGGGTGACTGCTGCTAAGTTTGCTTAACAATTCCACAATTTGCTCCAAGAATATAGAGATGGTGACTTTCTTCTGGTCAAATATCATATGTGAGTGGAGCCATACGTCTGAGTATCGAGAATACTGAGTACGTCAGGTCAAGATGTCTTAGCAAACAGTGACAAAACCTCCTAATTGAGGAAAACCACAAAATCAAATCGGTTTTTTTCAATCGTAAAATCATTGTTTCAATTTTTTGAAAGCCGAAAATTTTATTGTAATTTTCTATTAAATTTTACTATAAATCTATAAACTAGCAAAATTATTTTTACATGATTGTAAAGATGTAAAATTTTTATCCAATGAAAATTTCAAATAATTGTTGACAGAAAATAGTTATTCAAGTTCTTTCAATTTGGTTTTCCTTAAAAAGGCTTTAATTGCCATATGTGAATCAGAATTACGAAGAAAATTTATAAATTGATTTAAAATAATTCAAATCCATCAGCAGAATAACAAAAATTATAATAAAATCAAATGTTTGTATAATGGCCATAATATTTATTGGTAAAAATTTTATGATCGTATGCAAATTTTGACAAAATGATATAATTCATTCAAATTCATCACAAAAATGCTTTAATTATTGATCTATTATAATATATCTAGCTTGTTTTTTATATGTTTTTATTTTGGAAAAAAATAATCTACGATAATTGCAAAATTCGATTCCAATAATTTTGAAGATCAAATTGATCGAACATTGGCACTCATTTTTAAAAAAAAATTAAGTGATGAACTCCCTCGAAAATTTGTAATTTACAATTTTGTAAATTAATTAGTCATCGTTCTTTTCATGCTCCTTATTTTCATCATCCTTATACCCATGTTTAAGTTCGTTATACACATCTTTGATGTGATCTTTGATTTCTGGCCAAAACATTATATACCATCTGTAAAGTGTTGGTTGATTCTTTAGTTTTTTCGTATAAGGTATTCCAGTCCTTTTAGAAAGTCTGAGAGCCATCTCTCGAAAGTCTTTTATTGTAAGATCAGTAATTTCTAAATTCTTGAAAGATTCTTGAAATGCGGTTTTATCTTCCATATAACCTAAAAGTTCCTTGTACACCGTACATAAATATTCTGCAATCCTTTCATCGTTGTGAGCAATCCTCTCAAGCGCAATGTCCTCAAGCTCCTTTATCAAACCCGGAAAATCTTGGATCATTTGTTCATCAGCGCTCATGTTATATTCTTGTTAAATTTATAAGTGAAGGAAAATGACATTTTGAATAGTTGTAAATTTTGGAAAATATCACTTCTAACGTTGCGAGAAAAAAAAATTGGAATGACAATAAGTGTTTTTGATGCATTCGTGACTAGAGTTTATATTACACCAGTTTCATATAACATACTATTCCATAAGAGTCTGTTAATCTACAAAAATCACTTCAATCCAAATCAACTCATTCAACAAGTTTCACTTGTATAAAGTAGATACCAACATCACATTGAAATGTTCTATTATTGGAAAAGGATGAAAGTTTGATGAATTTTGAGCGATTATTAGTCCATAACTTTGTATTATCAAAGTAAATGAACAATATAAAGAAGAAGAATCTAATAGAATTGATACAAATAAAGAATTGATATCTGTTCCAATTTTTCTTGATACCAAACCCATGGCACATTATGCACTTAGTAACCTTGCTTGATGTTTATCAACTTGTTTAATAAAAATTACTCTAAAATACTATTAATTTTTATTCATAAAAAGAATTAAGAAGTAAAAATGTAAAAAACCAATTGAAAACTGGTTTTATAAATGGAAATGTCGAACATAAGGTTGGTGTAACAATTAGTGCGATCAATATATGAATACAAATTCGAATTGTTGAGAAAATTATTACAATAAACTTGATTTGTTGCGATAATGAAATGGAATAGATAAGTGAAAGTAATACTGAGTAGAGAGTACCGAAATCGAAATTAAAATTATCGGAAATAATAAAAATTATAATTCCAACGAATGGAATGATAAAAAATATATTGCCGTAACTGTTTTTGAAGACTAATAAGACTGTGAGCATACAGTTATAGCAGAAATCATGAATAATTTGCTTTGATTTCGAAAAATCAAAGTTTTGAGGTAGTGTTAGTTGCATCACAAGTCCAAATGCAGCTATTGCTAGATTAGTAATGTGGGTTGTTTTGTTTTCGTCTGTATTATAAATCTTGAAAAATATAAAGAATATATATGCAAATGAAATAATTATCAAAAAGAAATTAAGTATTTTCATTAGGTATAAAAATCTAGTAGTGAATGTAGTGATGATAAGATGAATTCCTTGAAGAAAAATGTTATCTCCATATATCAGAACTGTAAAGTCAAAAGATGTAATAGATAATGAATTATTTCTATACAATATGCAGCAGTTCGAATCTTTTTGAACAGGAGTGAGAGTTAAATTATTATGGATGAAGCCAAACTGATAATTGTCATAATTCTGTGTGTAAAGATTTAATGTTGTTGAGGCATTAAACTCCTGCCGGTTTTGTGAGCATAAATCGACTTGCAGAAAAAAATTATTTTGGGGAAAATTATTTACTTGGATTGATGCTTTAATAAAGCCAGAATCTCTGTTTTCACTAGAAATTGTGCTATTTTGCTGTAGTAAACTAAAACCAGGAAGCGTTATGATAGAAATTAATAATAAAATTACCCAAATTGAATAAATAACATGTATAGGATGATTTTGTAGGCTGAAAAATGTATATTGATTTGGATCATCTTGAGATATTAATGAAACATCTTCCAAATCCTTATCATCATCCAAAGATGTTTTCATAATATGGTTTTAAAAAATCGATATTGAAGGTTAAATATTGAAAAGGAAATGAATTTTATTAAATATATTGAGCTATTGGCAATAGATAAGAATTTTATTAATAAATATCCTTTTATTAGCAAAATTTCAAGGATCAGAATATTCTAATTGATTAATCAATCTAATTTATCAATATCAAATTTTCTAAAAATCTCTAAATTTTTTCTAAAATTTGAAATTTGAATTAAAATCTGAAGATTTTTGAAGATGAAAAAACAAATATAAATTATTTTTGGAAATACAAGATCATTCAGAAAAGGGTATTTTATGATATTATATCATTATCTGCGTTAAAATGACAGTTTTTGTTTTTTTTCCATGTCAGAATTTATGCAAAAACCCAACTTTATTGATGAAAATGATTCCCCACTTAACGCTCTTATAAGTTCCACAAAATGTTAAAATAAAATTTTGCCAACTTGAATTTGGAATTCTAAAAAATTGAATCCTAAAAAAAACTTGACATAATTTTTAATGTCGTTTTCCCCAAACATATCTCAGAGTATTCAGGAACAGTCTTTTAAGACCTTAGAAGAACTACAAAAGATAACATTCAATAATCAAAGACTTGAACAACTTGCTATTGAATATTTGTCATTTTTAAAGAGTTCAGATGCAATTAATGTAGACATCAAGGCAATAAACAACAAAATAGCAGAACACGGCGTCGATCTTGCCTTTCTCAATAAGATTTCAAACATCAGAAACTTTGCTTTTAAATTGGGGCAAATTTGTAAGATCCCTTACTACAATGGACTCAAACAAAAAACCCTAACATACAAATTCTTTGAAATTTTTTGGGGAGTTATTGAACCCCATATCAAAGAAGCTTATGAACAAGCAAAGTTGGATAATGTTTCTTAATGGGCTTCATAATGGTACATGATGCTTCCAATTAGTGCGAAATTATTTTTTTATTGTTATTTTTTATTGTTATTATTTTTTATCATGAATATAAGCGATATACAGAAGATATTCAATCCAAAACTTAAAGTACCTAAGTACTTGGGTTAGAATATTAAAATTACTATTTATTAAAATGTTTTGTTTATTATTTCATTGCTCTTTGCCAGAAATCGATCACAATCATTAAGTATACGAACCTTTATATATGTACTCATAAACTCTTAGTAAGAAATGAAATATATTTGTTCCTTTTGCATTTCATCTAAAGATACCCAAAAGATAAGATAGCACTTATACATGAAATAAACATACATTGATAAACCTATCCAAAAATCTTTTGTACTTGAGTTTTATTTTCAAATTCGCCTAAAAATTACCTGATTCGTGTTTAATCAAGCAGAACTTTTCCATATGATTTATGTTTCTTTTCTTTTTTTCGCTTTGTAAGGTTTCCTCATCATCTCCGATCTCCAAAAGTGCCAAAAAACGTGTCATAATCGTCGAGCTCGAAAATGGAATCATTGCCATCAGTCAGGAGTAAAACAAGTTCAAGTTCTACACGAAGAACATCCCTTTCAAGCGGACATGAGAAAAAGAAACAACCACAAGTTACACAATCTGATATTCACCAATTAAGGTTAAAGACCCAATACTTGGATCAACAGACTAAAATACTTCGAACACAATTGAACAGAGTTCACGATCAGATTAATGCGAAAACTAAAACAATCAATAAAACAGTTGGAAATTCAAATCAAATTGCTTCAAATAGTTTCAAGACAAAAATTGAACAACTTACACGTTCAATAGAAGCTGCGACTGATACAAAAGAGAAACTTGAAGAACAAATTGAAGTTGTTAAAAATAACGATAAAGGTGCAGTTGTTGTTGAACTTCAAGAGGAGCTGAAAATGGCTTACTGCGAATTACAAAGAATACATGATGAAATTGCTGAATCCCAATCAAACGGCTCTTCAAATGTTAAAAGATTACAAACAGCAAACTCCAAAGTATCAGATGAATACGCTAAAGATCTTGATTATAAAATAAACAAGCTTCGACTCTCAAATAAAGACATAAAAGATAAGATTATCGCTTATCAAAAGAAAATTGAGAGAAACAATATCGAAAGAGAGCTAAATCAGCGAAATAAAGAAGGAAAAACACTCCAATACGGTAAGGTCGAGATAGAAGACAACAAACGTTACAGAATAGAAAAATTTAATTTAATTGCTTCAAGTTTGAACGATGAAAACGCAAAATTTGAAGAAAAGGTGAAGTTACTTAACGATGTAATCAACCAACAAAGAGAGAAAATCGTTAATCACCTAGTCCAACAAAGTCCAAGGAAAGAGACATCCAGGAGTCAAGGAACTACAAAACAGGAAGAGGAGGAAGCTAACGAAGAACAAAATTCAGGAGAACCTGACATTAATTTCTAATTTTTGTTACAAAAAGATTCTGAAGATATGTTTAACTCTAATGTTATACATATATCAATATATCTTGACTTATTTTTAATATTGTCCAAAATTATTTTTATTGAATTTTATTTTCCATTGTTAAGCGGCCAAATGCTACAACATTTATATCACTATGAAGTTTTCAACCTTACTAGATAGTAATTTTCAGTTTCTATCACTTGAAATTTTTATTATTCACTTTTTTTTTCACTATTATACTTTTCTTAGAGAATCTTATCAATGAAGATACTTGCTATTATGGATGATAATGTTTTGTTTGCTAAATACTTATGATTATTTAATTTTTCATATTTTTTTTATTTGTAACTTTGAGTTTCCTTGAGAATCAGTAAACTTGATATTCATAAAAACCGTTTACTTTTATAGAGGGGGACTCATTTCTCATTATGATACCTTTTTTTACAAATTTATTATTTCGATGACTGTAACACCTCAATTCACAACACAAAGTGCATTTGGCAATTACAGAGGGACACCAAAATCACCTACGTCAATGTTCTTGTATTCCTCAACATCTAGTCAAGTCAAAGCTCAAAATGACCAGTTATTACAATTAAAGGAACAGTATTTACGCTTAAAGGCACAGTATATCCAAGAATCAAAGGACAGCAGCGCCAAAATAATGAGTTTGGAAAGGCAGCTCAGAACAAAGCAACAAGAACTTGAAAAACTCGAAAGGGAACTTGCTCAGTTACGATCTAAGGGAGGAATATCTCAAAAATCAGGATCAATCGGAGCTGTTGAGAAAATTTGGAATATAATGAATGATTACCGCGAGCAAATCAAAAACGGAGCTCTTCAAGAACCAAAATCATCACCAAATATAGGAACACCAATACATATCAATGAAGATGATGAAGATGAGATCTATACTAGGATTCAACCAAGAGCTCACTTTGCAAAATGAATTTATGGTTTAAATCTTAAACATTTTATAATTAAAGTTCTTAATTTTTTCATTGTAAGAGGCATGTTAATAAAATGCAGTTAAAAAAGTTTAAAATCATTTATAATCTTTTTGATTTTTATGCTATGCCTATTATATTTCTATCTGAACTAATACATATTCATGTTGATAAGTTTGTAGCATCTATTTCATGATTTATTGTCAGAATTACTGAATTTTATGGAGAAAACATGTATTTGCAATGAAATACATCACGACTCTTTTTTATTATACGATAAAATCGCTAACATTTGATTATGAACCGGATCTGCAATCACATAATAAAGCTCATCCAAAATTCATCCAAATTGACAAGTTCTCAATTCATAAATATTGTTCAGGTATAAGTAGTCAACATTTGTTATATTTTAATTAAGGGTTTCGTTTTGCGAAAAAAACGTACAATACGCAATTTCGCTAAAAAAACATTTAGCTAGCAATTTCGACCTTTGACTCCACTCAAGACGTCACTTTTTTAATTTTGCGGTATCATATTTTTGGAAAATCTTTATGAATATTATATAAAAAGTCTCTTTAATATCTATATTTCATATTTTTATCGATTTTTAAAGTTTTTGCGAAAAGTATTCAATTATTTTTGCTATTTGGTCGGGTAAATGTCAGATTTGCGACATTTTCTGATATGATATTCAGATTCTACGTTGATAATAATGCTTATAGAACCCTCTTGCTATTGTGTCAAAATTGCGAAACCGATAGCAAAAATATCTCGCAATATCAAAATTGAGATATTGAGTGAATTATGCATTATAGAGATTAAAAATCTGATTTGTGAAAACATCTCATCAGTTTCTAGCTAATTCAAAAATCTTTACTATCTTATTCGATTAAAATGAAAAGGGAATAGTTTCATTATGCTTTAAATGACAGCCTTATAATATAATCATAGTTTTCGCTCAATATGCAGCATTTTTTTTTCGAAATCTATGGTCAATATCCTAAATACTGATTGCTTTGCATTCATATCTCTTACATTTTCTATACCCACATCACTATTCATTGCTATTCCTATCTTTTTCATTTTTGTTTGTTTCTCATAATTTCTCAAAAAACATGATAACTTGATATTTGTAAATATCATACTTTATAACGTAAATAAGAACTTGACCTATTAAGAAAAGCAGTAATGAAAAGAAAATCTGAAATTCATAAAAATTACAAGTTTCTGATGACAATTAGCTTAATTAAACCAGGTACAAGATTATATAATTGTATTTTCTATCCAATTATCCATATAATATCTTATCCAGAAAAAATAACTTGATCAATACCAAATGATTTTTTAACTAGTAAATAAAGTATTTTCTTTACACACACATTGTATATCATAGTTTTTTTTTTTTGGTTTCGCAAAACATCCAAAAACAAATATGCTATAAAAGTGACAATTTTAGCAAAACGAAACCCTTATTTTAATCCAATATTATCATCAAGATATCAACTTTTTTTTAAACATCGATTCAATTTCAATTTTTTCATAATATATTCTGGGGATGAGTAGGGTGTGGGTACATAAGACATAAAAATATGTTTAGAATTTTTAAAACAACTCAAAGATTAGGGAGGATAGCTAGTGTTTCGTTAATCAAGTTTTTACTTATGATGTTTCGCGCAACAATTAGCTCCAACTTTCCAAACTCTATGGTTGCAATATTGGCATTTGTGTGCATAACAAAAATGTGATCCTGGAACTCTCTGTTCTTTGCACATATCGCACTTATGATCACGACAATAATTTGAAAGGGTAATTCTTTGATTCTTACAAAGAAGACATTTATGATCAGTGCAAAACCTACTGTCAGCAGTTCGACATTTATTGCAAAGATGGCATTTATGGTTTTTACAATAACTACTATCTGTTGTTCTCTTTTCTTTGCATAACGCACATTTGTGAAGTTCACAGTAGTATGAATTTCCTGCTTTATCATTACCACAGTGTGGCCAATGACATGTAAATTTTGGGTATGATGTAGAGGAAGAAGCTGATTGTGAAGATTTAACTTGTCTTCTTGGAGTTTTCTTTTGCTGTGATTGCGCACAATTTTTATTAATATCTTCATCCTCAACATCTTTTTCTACATATTCATCATTTTCATCCTCGGAATTTGATTCCATTGGAAATGAGTTCGCATTTGGAAATGCACTTGCAAATTGTTGCGCCATCATATTCATTTGCTGCGCATACATAGTAGCCATTTGCTGTGTTGCCATGCAATATAAATAAAATATCAATTTTGATTTTTCAGAATGAGTAGGAATTTATAAAAATCAGATTATTCATAATATATTCTTAGCCAATCTCACCATTAACTAACAGAAAAAAACACATAATCACTCATATATTGGTCAACTTGGTTAACATACATTTGAGTCTATGATAGTACAGAAAATTTATGTAATTCTATTGGAAATGAAATCAAAATTGATATTTTGTAGTACTCAAACAGCAAAATGATTTAAAATCAGATAAAATTGCGCTTTCTAATTGCAAGCAATGACCAAAAATTCGAATAAAATTATCTATATGGATTGAAGACCAAGTTTTAATTTTTTTGGTATATTTCACAACAGTGTAGTTTATATTCTTATGTGTATCATACTATTGGGTTTCATTTTTAAGAATATAAAGTAACAGAAGCGGGGGAAAATAACTGTGATCTGTTGTTAGTATACAAATTTTTTATGTTATCACATATCGTAATATTTTACTCTTCTCAAAGGCTCCAATTTTTATCGAAGAAATATCTCTTTCACAAAAGATGAAGCAAATAAAGTTTTTGCAAAGAAATTTAGCTAGTAAATACAATCAGATTAAAAATGTTCTCCCTAGGGAAGAAATAACAAAATGAAAAATAGACGGTTTTGAAATAATGAATTAATAACTGTTTGCATAAAGGGATGAAGTATGAAGGATTTTTGACCGAGCTAGATAATCTGCATTTTGAAATAATTGGGAAATTTTCAATTGTTTATTGAGAAAGACGAAAGTTGAAATGTATTATCATATGGCTGATATTCTGCAGAAAGATGTGTAGCTTCATAAAAGTTGGTTAATGGCCGTCTAAATCTACGCCAAAGAAGAAATTGAAATTGCTCAATGAATTCAATTAATTTATTTTACGAATCGGTCCAGCTTATTACAAGCCAAAGACTCAAATTTCATTAAAATCAAGTCCAATAAAAATGACCATTTTGATAAAACAATTGAAAGGACTCCGATAAATTCTCCACAAAAATCATGTCAATTTGTCAATCATAAAAATTACAATTTCTAACTTGCATATAGATATCTAACAATATCGCCACAAATTAGTGTAATAAAATGCTATTTTATTAATTTGATTAAATATCTTTAATCATCACCTTATGGGGATCAATAATATCCACAAATTTTAAAGAAAACTAAATTAACGCAAATCGTTTACACTGATATATGGATGTAAAGCGTAAACTATATATCGTCGCTAACCGTCAACAAACAGACCCTTTATTTCTGAATAACCGTCTTCAATAAGAACATATCATGGAGGCCGACCTTATTGAACAAGCCAAGAAATATTGTCAAGAAAAGACCCAAGAAGCAATTCTCTTCGCCGACATCGTCGAAAAGTATAATGATAATAACGACCACCACCAACCAAGAATTTGCGTCGCCACAGAAAACAGAATAGCTTTATTCAAAGGCAAAACAAAAATCGAATTTAGCCGTGAACGTTATTGGGTAGATATTACAAAGTTAGTTTGGAACGAAGAAATTAAAAGAGTTGATTTTATTTTCAAAATGGATCAAAATAAAAAACTTCTTCAAGTCCGCTTTTCCAGCAATAAAGCTGCCGAGTACAGGACGATTGTTGCTGACTATCTAGCACGCATTCTTCCACCAATTCAAATGAAAGAAGCTAATGTTCAACAATTCGTTACACATGATAAAAAGGCAGTTGCAATCTCCGCAGTTAAGCGTCTCGAGGCCTACTCATTCAGCAGAAAAGTCGAAATACCTGCGAATGTCAAGCGTGAATTCTTCGAGATCATTCAAAACCGTTACAAGAAAGTTAGACTTCCAGGCACCGATAAGGAACACGGTTTCTTGATTGCCGCCTTACAAGCTGACCCATCTGCTGAGCATCTCGTTTTAGTCGGCAATGAAACAGAAGATCTCTATTCTGTAGTTGCTGTCATTCCTTCCGGCTATTCTCCGTTCACACACATCACATTAGACACCCCGAACACAACTAAATTTGTTTCTATGTGCAGATCAATCAAATTAAGGCCAAATTTGTTCCAGACCGAAGGATTCACTTTCAAGAACTCAAACTTCGACCAAAAACTCGTTGACAGGTTCAATGAAGAATTTAACTTCAAGAAATTCAGAGCTCTTACCTTCAATAACTCATTCTCACCAGAAGTTTACGATTCTTTCGTTGAGAAGGTTCTTACAGAGGAATTCTGCCAAACCATTGAATATTTCGGCATTGAAAATCAGCAGGGCCTCAAAGTTCCAGTTATTCTTACCAAAGTTCCAAATGTTGTCGCAATTTCATTCGCAGACAACGGCCTCGAGCTCGGCACTGTTCTTAACGACATCACAGCCGCAAATCTTCAGAATCTTAAGGCAATTAACTTAGCAAATAACAAATGCGAAAATGATACAGAACTCGAAGCTCTCTTATCCGAGAACATCGAGCTTATCGATATTTCTGGCTGCACATTCTCTACCGGAAAGCTCGTTAGCTTCTTAACTGCCGTATTTAAGGCAGAATACAAGAAAGGCCTCACAATCATGGCCAACAACCTCAAGACCTCAGCCGAAGAACTCGGCAAGGCCTTGGACACTCTCGCTACTACCAGAAACTGCAGCCTTGTCGGTCTTTCTTGGATAGGAAATCCAATTGGTCTAACAATGGGCCAACTCTGCCGCAGCATTCCTCAGCTCCGCATCCTCTTCCTCGATGACTGCTTCGATAACAACACAGAACCATTCATTGTCAATCAAATCGCAGAAGCCCTCAAAGACCTTCCTAAATTCCGCAAACTCTCCATCAGATCTATCAACAAAGTCGCCGGCAATGCAATCCTTCCTATCCTCAAAGCTCTTAAGAGCAGCCAGTCGATTGAATACCTCGATGTCAGAAACCAGAAAATCGGAACAGAAGGTCTCCACGCCATTGCCGATATCATTTCTGCAGGCAGACCACTCAATTTCCTCGATTTCGATGGTTCGAAGCCAGAATCTTATGATGATATCAAGAACATCGTAGACCTCTGCTTAAACAACGGCCAACATATCACAATCTCATATCCATTACAAGACGTCGCGGAGTTCGTCCAGACAAACAAGGAAATTCAAGGATATCTTACAGTTTCTCTCAACAAATTAATGAATTACCCTACAGAAGAATACGATCCAAAGGATCCATTTACTACTCCATTCGACAGATTCGTCCATCAGCCAGAAGTCGAAACCGAATTTCCACAATTCCGTTCCCGCAACATTGTCAAGTTCTTTGAATCAGCTGAAGAGATTTCTGAGATCGAAATCAAATCTCCTAAGAAGGGCGCGAAGAAGTCTTCTTCATCATCATCCGATGAATACGAAGATGACAACCAACGCCTTAGAAACCAGAGAGATAGAGCTGCTTTCTACCTTGGTGAGGGTGAAAATACAACAGAAGATAACCAAGATGACGAGGGCATGAAGCCACAACAAGAGCAGATTAAACTCAAGTTCGATACTGATGATTATAGAGATAAGATCGATTGGGAGGACTGGGATCCTGCTGTTCTCAAACCATTCGATAACTCTACTGCTCTCCAGAAAGTTGATAAGAAATACCACCTTGATGTCCTCCGTGAAGCTTTACATTAAGACCTTTAGCGATTTTCTTTTTATTCGTTTTTTAAAATTTGCATTTTTATTATACTAAAAAATTGACATTTATTCAATAATATATAAGGTCGCCAAAAAAAAGTGCGGAAATTAAAAACCGCAGTTTGAGTACTTTCTGAGAGTCTGTTTGTCAGAAAGTATACATTTGTAAACTTTCTGACACTAAAATTTTTTTGGTCCTTTCAAAGTTTTTGACAACGTCAAAAAGTATACATCGGGGCTCTCAATTTTCCTCTCAAACGGCGGTTTTTTAAAAACGCTCAATTTTCACTTTGATTGGAATTCTTGTTTTTTTTAAAAACCTAGATCCTTTTGGAATGATATTTAATATTTATACAATAAATCTGACTTCTATTTTGTAAACCATGTGACTATGCAAAAGTCATATCAGTTGATTATCATTGCAAAGATGGAATTTTAACCCGAAAATCTCGATACTCATATGGAAAATACAATTCACAGAGCGATTGTTTATACTTACTTAGAAAGATTCATCTCATATCCGATGATTATCTTGGCAAATTTGAAATTTTAATCCAAAAAATCTCGATATTTATACGGAAAATACAATTCACAGAGCGATTGTTTATACTTACTTAGAAAGATTCATCTCATATCCGATGATTATCTTGGCAAATTTGAAATTTTAATCCAAAAAATCTCGATATTTATACGGAAAATACAATTCACAGAGCGATTATACATATTGACTTAGAAAGATTCATCTCATATCCGATGATTATCTTGACAAATTTGAAATTTTAATCCGAAAATCTCGATATTCATACGGAAAATACAATTCACAGAGCGATTGTTTATACTTACTTAGAAAGATTCATCTCATATCCGATGATTATCTTGGCAAATTTGAAATTTTAATCCAAAAAATCTCGATATTTATACGGAAAATACAATTCACAGAGCGATTATACATATTGACTTAGAAAGATTCATCTCATATCCGATGATTATCTTGACAAATTTGAAATTTTAATCCGAAAATCTCGATATTCATACGGAAAATACAATTCACAGAGCGATTGTTTATACTTACTTAGAAAGATTCATCTCATATCCGATGAATATAATGTCAAATTTGAAATTTTAATCCGAAAATCTCGATATTCATATGGAAAATACAATGACTTAGAAAGATTCATCTCATTCACAGAAATCTTGATTCTATGGAACAATTGAATTAAAGTTTTTAAAAAATATAATTTTTTTTTATTAACGGAAGGAAATAAGAATAAAGTATTTATGAATATCTATTTTCTTGATTTCAATCATAAATCATAGATAGATAATAAAAATCTATAGAGGTTTACTTCTTGTCTTCAAGAAGTGGTTCTGGGTTGAGTTTCTGCTCTTCGCCGTAGTAAAGACCTGGTATCTTGATGATTCTGTTGTAAATGAATGATCCAAGAATAGAAATACTGAATCCGGCAAGTTGCAAAAGTGACATCAAATTAAGTGGTTCACCAGCACCAGAATTTGGAGCAATGTAGTAGATAACAACTGAGAGGGCCCAAACAGCAGCTGATCTGAGTGCTTCGTAGATGTTACGATGGATGGCAGAGCTGAATGAAGTAACAAACATTCCTGTCATGTTGTAACCGAGAATTGCGAGCATGTAGAGGATGATGAAGATGAATATGATAAGACTGTGTGCAATCATGATGAATGTTTCGCCTGAATGTTCGAAAAGATTTTCGCCTGCGCTCTCTGGAATGATTTGAGCGACTGGGATAGCGAGGAATGTAGAGAGGTAGAGGCCCCAAAGTCCTTCGAATGAAACAATTTCGTTTTCGGTGGCATCAACATCGTGAAGAAGTTGTTCTTCAACAATTGTCTGGAAAGCCTGGAGAGCTTGAGCAATAACGATGAGAACCATGGCAATAACTTGCATACCGGCTGGAACTTTGGATGCAGAGTTTGTAGATGAGTTGGATTTTCCTAAAACTGCGGAAAGACCGACAATTGTGATACCAAGGATTGTTGTGCAAACACCAAACCAGTCAACGCAGTAGAGTTTCTTCTTTCTGTAGAAGATAGCAATCAAAGCTGTGAATAAAAGAATTGAACCACGAGTCATCTGCCAAACGGAAGGTGGAAGGTAAAGGAGACCGATGTTCTGTAAGTATGTTGCAATTAAGTCACAACCAGCTGGAACAGCGACAACTCTGAAGAGACCAATTCCACGGATTTTTCCGCCAGTTGTGTACTTAGGGCAACCGCCTTTCTTGAATAATGGAGTATCGAAAATGAGAAGAGACATAGCAATGAACATTGACCATGTCTGGAAAACGGGCTTTTTGAATTCTTTAATTGTATTGTGAAGACCAAGTGATTTCATGTTGTAGAGAACATTACCTAAGACGGCACTGCTTGCTCCACATATGAAGAAAAGTGTAAGAATTAAAGTTTTGAACTTAAAAGAAGCTTCTCCCATCCTGAAATAATTCGGCTTTACAAGTATTCAATGTTCAACCGATGAATTTTTAATCCAATCATTTCTGATTGCATATTTGATATGATATTGTTATATAGAGCGATTTCGGTCGTACTTGAAGATCGTTATCTTTCCAAATTTCAAATTGAGGAGATTTCAGATTCATTATTCGTCAAGAAGATTAACCAAATAGCTCTATCATCTTTTGCAAATATAAAAAACAAAAGATTTAATTTAAGAAACACAGTTAGCAGCTTCAATATCTTTTCAAATCTAGAATTAAGGCTAAAATAAGGCAAAAATCAAAGGTTAATGTGATGTATAATGTAAGAACTAATCCAAACATGCTATTAACCATTAAAAATTTAGATTTCATATTAAATCATGGAATTAAGATATGATTTCCTTTTCATTTATGTAGTTTTCATGAAATCTAATATTATTCTCATATAGAGAGACATAAGATTTTTGATATGAAATTGAAGACGGTATCGTTTTCAGGTGCGAAAATGAAAAATTCTGGGGATATGTCGGCCTCGTCTCACATCGATCCTCATGGCCTTGATCCCAACGAGGTTATAAACAGCTGTATTAATGATACTGATAAATATTTAAGAGAATTACTTAAAATCCGTTTCGAAGTCGAATGTTCAGTTACAATTGGAGAAGATTTCTATGAAGAAGCCACAATTCATCTTTCTTCACAATTTCTTTGCATTAAAATACCAGGAGAACACCCGAGCATCATAAATCTATTTCTTCCTCTGTATAACATGGGTTTCAGAGAGGTAGAAGATGAAACATCTGGCAAATATATCCTTTCGATATCTCAAAAGTACAAATCAGAGAGTCTAAACTTTCCATTAATCGAAATTGTTTTCAGAGACGGCGAATACCTTGCTAGATTTGCTAAAACAGTGAAGTTCTGTGATGAGATCTACAAGCACTTTTATACTTCGACATATGAAGTCAACAAAGTCCAATTTATTTTGGATAATGTAAATTGTGTTGCAAAACTCCAAGTTACACTTGATTCGATACAATGCATTGATAAGAACAAGGTTCTACTTAAAATTCCAAGAGATGACAAAATGGAATCAATTTTGATGCAAAATTATCCATCAGACCATTCATTACAGAGTTTACAACACGAAAACTCGAAGTTATTCTTCCAAATCCGAAATTCCGTTGCAATTTTGGACTTTTTCAGCATTGAAAAATTTGAAGAAAATTTAATTCCTCAAAAAACGTTTTTACAAGTGAAGAAATTCCTTCTTTACATGTTCTCACCGATCAAGAAGTCGGAAGGCATCATTTCGGATGTTTTTGAGTTTGATGTTCCCGAAATTCAATCTGCATTAGCTTCATACGATCTTGAGAAGCTTCTTGATGGCGATTACGTTGCAGAAACACCCGACAACAAACATCAAACAACGAAACAGTTCTTCCAAACCGATGTATCAACAGATGCCGAAAATTTCATGTCACAAATGCAAGAAAAGATCGAATACTACAAAGAAGAAATGAAGAAAGAAGAATTACGTCAACAATCGAAGTATGAAATTGAAAATGAACTCTCTACAATCATGGCAAAAATAACCGCTGATTGTGAAAACAAATTCCCATATCAAACAAACGAAAGTGACATCAAAAGAGACACAATCAGTCTTGAAATGTATGAATCACTTAGCAATAGATTATATGAGATATTGTCTGATGCGAAACCCGGCCAAGTTCGAGAATTAAAAGTAAAATTCGGTTTGGCAACGAATGTTACTTATGACATGTTTATGGAAAATTTGAGAAAATACATTGCAGAAAATACTCCAAAATTACGTGGAGATTTAAAGGTGAAAATAAGGGAAGAACGCATGAAAGAGTTAATTGCTAATTCAGGCATGGGAACACAAATACATCAATACGGAGAACCCGATGAATTTGTTTTAATTATTACACCTTGTTATCCTGTTTTAGACATCAGAGTATTTAAAGACACTGATCCTGAATTCGAACTGGAATCAACTGTTATTAACAGTCCATTTATTGCTACTGATATCCCTGATAAATACTATAAACCTGTGAATCTCAAATACATTCATGAGATACAAAAACAGTATCTTCCTGAAGAAGGAGAAGAATTAAAAGTTGTTCAAGTTCAAGGTCATGATTATAAAATCAATGTTCCTAATAGTAATGCTTATAAGAACGCTATAACAGTTATAGCAAATGTACAACCAAACACTAAATCTATAATTGCAGCAAGCGCTTTGTTGAATAACTTGACTGGTTCTCATGAAGGAAAAGGTGTAAATTATGTAAAATTTGGAAAACAACTCAAAAAATTGAAATTCAAAGTTAGAGATATAGAAACTGTTATTAAATTGTATCCGATTGTTGATATACCTTCAACTATTGTATTCTTTAATCATCTGCTTGAAAGAGATGCTTGTTCAACTTTCTTTAATTCTCTTGAAACAATGTATGATTTCAAACAAAATAATTATGAAAGTGATTCAATTATGTTAGTTCCAAACGCATGCACGAAAATAGCTAAGCAATTGGAAGGAGCAATAACTACTTTGGCTGATCCTGCAAGTGAACTTTTGTTCGATGATGTAGAAAGTCCAATTGTAAGAATAACTAATAATGTTTCGAAGTTTTTGTTGTATGAAACTAATGATAAGAAATCAATAAATCAAGAACCAAAAGTTACTCCTTCTTTTGCTTTGGAATTTGAGGGAGATATAGAGCTATCAATTCAATATCTCAGTCTTGTTTTTGCTGATTTCGTTAGAATTATTTCATATCCTTTGGATTATAATGACTTGAATTTGATGCAAAATATGTGGGACTTTATCAAATTAGTTACACCGAAAATGTATGATTTGACAACAGAATTTTGCTCATATTTCGATGTAATAAAGTATCAAGGAACAGATACTTATAAATTGGTAAGATTCCTTGTCTGCGGAATTATCTTTGATGACTTACAAACATGGTGCATCAAATTCTCTGAGAGAACAGATACAATTGGTCAACATTCTTTGGATATGATTTTAGTGTTGAACCAATTACAGAGAATTTCAAACGTTCTCAAATCAAAGAATCCAAATCTCGAAGGATTCTGTCGCCAAATAGAATCTGTTATGGCATCAGTTTTACCATAATTAATTTTAATAAGTGTATTTTTTTAAATTTTTATTGTTTTATTCTTGTTTTTTTTTTATTTTTTTTAATTGGAGTTCTATTCTTAAGGGTGCACTTTCGCCCCTATGACACGGCTTTCAATTCAGATGTCCAAGGCTAATTTTCAATGAAGCTTCATGCCTGTTGTCAGATATTTGAATTAAAGTCAGATGGGCGTATGTTCAGCCTTAAGGATACCCTTACGTGTCAGATTTTTTGCGCATACGAAGAAGTCATGCTAGACATGAGCTATAAACCTGAAATTTTAGCAACATATTTAAAACTTTTTAAACTACAATACACTTTAATATTCAAGAACAAAAATATTCTTTTTAGAAATTACATAATTATTTTATGTGAAATCTATATAAAAACATATTTTGCGAGCGTAACTTTTTTCTTTATAAGCACCTTATATGACTGATAAACTGTGAAGGCACATAATTGTTAATTCATAGAGTTGATATGTTTCCAAAATTGAGAGGAAATTTGAAAATTGAATACCCTTTCAATTCAATTTTCAAAAGATATCAGCTCCTTCAATAATTGAAGGACGATTTTGATCATTTGCTCTTAAAACAAGTATGCCATGGAGAAAAAAGTTACGCTCGCAAATCTGAAATATAACTATCATATAAAAAAATTAAATTTCTAATTTTTTACTCTATAGATATTATTGGCCACTTGTGTAATGCATAAAAGTTTATGTCATATGCATACATTTGGAAGTATGGGAGACGAGGGAAATTACTTCTATGAGGCACTAGGATTTTTAAAAATTTCTCTATCGGACTCACCATTCAATTTCTCGAAAATTAAAAAAAAATCAATAATAGCTAAAATGTATTATGCATAACAAATTTTAATGTTACATGGTATTTTTTGAACTTCATGACATGAATTTTCTTTATATTATTTTTTTTTGGATTTTCTATGATTTATGCGATAGGCTGGAACAACATTGTAAGTGCAATGATATCATTTATAGAGAAATCTAAAACTTCAGCATTCAGAACTCGCAACCACAAAAATATTCATTTGCTAAGTAAGTAAAGTTGATTAAGTTCGACACTTAGCTTTTATACGTAAAACCAAGTGTGTATTGTTATTTCTTGTTAAATTATTGAGAAAAAAATAAATTGTAAGAGAAACGATACTGATTATTGAAATAATATTGAGGGTAGCTGCAGATTTCTTCATTAACATGCCGGAAATTTGTTAATCTTGGTTTTCTATCATAAAATCTGTCGAAGAATCTAAAAACGGAGATATGAAATAGAGATCATGTAAATCTAGAGTATCCTGTCAGAAAAATAGACTAAGCATGTAACCCTTTTTTGGTCATAAACACTTTTTACCACTTAGTCATACAGATGATCATTAAATTTAAACGAGCACTTTTTGTCAGAATTTATTCTTTTACAAAGACAGAAGATTTTAGTATTATTTAATATTAGTGCTGTAGCAAAATTCAAAAAACGGTGAAAATTCAGTGAATTTGTGAATTCACATTTTTTTTCGACATTTTTCTTGATATATCCATGCACATTAAGAACACAGCTTTGATACGCTTAAAAAAGCATATTTCATATGAAATTGTTAAAGAAATAAACAATTTATATAAAAATTGCACTTATGGGCAGTTTAGATATATAATTTATATATAACATATATACAAATCCATAGACAAAGTGCAATAACTACAATGTTGTAGAAAATTACAGCAGAAATACTGACTTTTTGAAGGATAATAAGAATTCTTCTAAAAATACTGAAAATTAACATATTTCTGTACTCAATTTAGTATATGCACAGAAGTTATGATTTGGTGTTAGGTTTTTATGCCCCAAAATCTAGATTTTTGTGACATCAAATCTTATTAGTGGATAAATCAAAGACTGTCATTTTGAAATAAGCTCATATCAATAAATATCCATTTAAAAGCCTTATTGTAATATGTAACTAGCAAAAAGCCTAATATTTATCAAAATTAATCAAATCAAATGATCAATATTCATGATATGTCATCAGCAATAGCTAATTGATATTTTATTTTGTATTGATATTCATTTTTCTCATATTATACACGATTATATCTCTTTTTTTAAAAAAAGTTTTTATATTAGACATGAAAGTTGAATTAATACAATTTTGTACTAGAGTTTGTTTGTATATTAAATAATAATGATATATACTTCAACATATTGCGTCTCACCATTACCAAAATGTAATTTTGCATACAATTTTCTTTCATTTAACAATGATGTTATTTGAAAAGTGATACTTCCATGATTATTGATTAATGTTCCATCATATATAGGAATGAATGTTAAACAAGACACGCCTGCAGCTGGGTGCATTCGTGGCATTGTGATAAGGCTTATATATAAAGACTTCTCTCGATCAGCATTACGTCAAATGAATATTGACCCATTATTTTGGCGATGCGCTAGTTCCAAGTAGAAATGCTTTGGTATATTTAGGTTATGTCTATATTTATGAATCATGGTATTATTGATAAAAACGTTCTTAGTCATTAAATCAATCCTAGTATCTAAAGATATAATTTAGATTTTTTTGTTTATTGCTAAAATTAAATACAGTATAACTTTCTTTCATATTGTCGGTACTAACAATACAAGATTGTGTTGAAAAAAACTTAAATATGCATGAAAATTAAATTTAATGTGTAAATATGATAAAAATTTCAACTTTACTAATAACATACATAAGTTTCTGATAGTTTAATATAGTTCATATTGATGTGACTGTAAACTATATCAAAAAAATATTTTTAAATATTGTTATGCAAATAATGGGATTTCTAAGGAAAAAATGATTATATTTGTTATATAAAGCAATCTTTTTAATTATTCACTACGTTTATTACATTTTTTGCCGACCATTTACGTAATATGCCTCCACCAAGCAGACGCAAACAACAAAGTCGTGAAGCTAACGAAAAATCAATTGAAGCAAGAAAAAACTCCCAAGAAAAGAATGCGCCAAAGGAAGTCGATCCAAAACACTGGACTGCTTCTGTAATTGTTAATGGTGACTCTTATACTCGAGCAAGGAATTTATTTCAAGATAACAATATTAAAGTGCCGAGTGAAAAAGAGTTTTACCGTCATCAAAAAGAAATAGGTAAGGTAATACTAGAATATAAAGAGCAATCTATTAAAAATGCTCAACAAACAATGAAGAAAGATACATTTTTAAGCACTGATTCGCATTATAATGTTGGCAGAAATGCTACAGCGTGCCAAAGTTTAATGATGGACAACCGTGGAAAAGTTGTTGGTGAAACAACTGTTATAAAAAAGAGCTCTGGAGGAGACTTTGAAGGCCCATCCAACATGATGGAAACAGAATGTCAAAGAGGATGATGTCAAATTTTGACTTTACAAATGTTTCCACAGTGGTTCATGACAATGACAATAAAACGAAAGCCATCATCCAGCAATATGCTCCGAATGCTAAAATTACACTTGATCCTCGTCATTGTGTACGTGCAGTTGGCAGAGCTTTCGAAAAGCTTGAAAATGGTGGATATAAAGAAGCAGCAGGAAAAGAAACTGTTAATCAACAGAAAGAAAGTGAATCACAGCCAGCATTCCCAATCAAATCTAAAGCAGAAGAGCCGAAGAAACGTGGAAGACCATTAAAACACCAAGAAAAAGTATTTCATCAGATATATTCGAAAGTTATTAAGTGGTTCACTTTTATTATCATGCTTCCAATTGAAACAACGAAAAAAATTTTCCTATGGAAGAATACATTAAATCATTTTATCGGAAGGCATGAAAATTGCCTTCACGAAAAAGACAAAGAATATCCTGTGTTTCAGCCACTTACAAAACCTGATTTAGCGAAGCAATTTCAACGTTTTACAGATGATGCCGCAAAGTTGATTCCAGAAATTGATCCTAATGCTCAAACACAACAAAATGAATCGATACATCACTCAATGCTTACTCTCAGTGTCCCAAAGGAAACAACGCAAAATCGTTTGAAATGCGTACGGCTGTTACAATTTTACAAAAAAACGAAGGAGAGAAATGCAAACAAGAAATATACAATCGTGTCAATAATTACCAAATATCTCCTTCAATCCGCGAACTCCAAAAACTTGAATATGAGAAAAATAAATCCAGAAATCAAAAGAAAGCTACACCAGAAACAAGAAAAGAGATCAACAAGGCAAGAAATGCAAAAAGATTTCCTAAGGATAACCCTACAGGTGATTACAGAGGAGGAAAGTGGACCCCACAAGATATCTAATTTTCAAATTTGAAATAAACACATATTTTCTTTGTATTTGAAAATATTTTTATATTATAAGATTTTTGAACCTATAAGTAGCATGACAAAAATTATATAATTTGCTCCTTTTTTATTTTAGTATACAAATATCCCATTTGTTATATGTTCGGTATATATATGATGATATTGTAATCAATTATGCTTAATGAAGCTTTATCCCGTGAACCCCTCATATTATTGGAAAATAAATAGCGAAAACATGTAGAGCTGCTATGTTCTCAAGTGTATGCTGATTTTTGGATTATTTCATGAAAACTAATGGCGGGATATCTTGCATTATTTAAAAAAATTGAACTATGCAAAAATAAATAGTATTATATTTTTTCTCATGAAATGCTATTATGAGACAACCATAAAAAACCATATGTTGTATTTTTATAATTTGATTGATTTTTTTTACTATTTCATTAATCTTTTATGAATAATAATTATTTTTAATATATGTGAAAAAAAAAAAAAAAAAAAAAAAAAAGGTAGTGGGGCCTCCAGGCACTTCGTGCCCTCTAGCCCTGAAGATGTTTAGTATAAATGAAGTTTTTATTCGGAAAGCCTTCTTCTGGGTCGAAAACATTATATAATGTTTCACTTTTCACAAATTATATATGTTTTCATGTTTTGTCACTTTTCTGTCACTTTTCAGGTAAAAACATTTTTA